ATTCATATGAGGTTAGTTGTTAAAAGTAATTTACTTAATTTCCCTACTTACAATTTATAAGTGAGTTGTAAAGTGTATGCTTAACTAGTTTTATAACAAAACTGGATACATAAACAACACTTGTTAAACTGAATGGTCAAAAAAGATTGAACATCTGGCGACATGACTTTGTTGCATTAAACGTCAAAGCACGATACATAATAATTGGAAAAACAGGAAATAGGTTTGTACTCGAATTTTGTGGCGTAGATAATAAATCAGAACAACAAAAATGTGTCGTACAAAATGGGGTAATATAATTACGAAAAAATACAAAAGGTAAAGAGCCGTATAAGGGATAAGTGAATGGAAACAGTATTTAATATTGGTCACACAAATATCAAACCAAGTTAAGTCCAGCATTATCCATCAGCGCTGGATAGACTTACAAGAATTTTTTTTATCTCCAGTTGTCAGTAATGGTTGATTCTACAGACGAGTATAGTTCGCACTGGAGATTTGTAACCACTCGCTGACTAGAAGGAAACCATCTACAGAGGTTTCACACGTGAAAAAGAATATTTAATCGAATCAACATTGTCCCACTAACTTTAGTGTGTATATGCACCAACCTGGGCTTGATTTCTAGACTCAATAGTTTTTGTAGCTTAACAGTAGATTGTCGACAGCGTCAAGCATTGGTCGTTCTGTCCTTAACACAAACAGTTATTTTGATGACTTAGTGAATCAAGCATTCAACTTTTGAATGCTGGTTTTCGGATTTGAATTACACTTATTTTCGACGTCAGTAGCTTCAAGTTCCTCCTAAAAAGTGAGTATGACTCAAAGTCAGGTAGAATTAATTTACTTGGTTACTGAATTACACCAATCCTCTCATATAAGTATAAATAGAATGCCCTTCTAATAAATATCAGTAAGCGGCTATAATTCTACCCGCTCATTTTTCTTACCTTAACTATTTCAAACTTAATTTCTTAACTATTATTCAATTTTTCATAGCTAGAATGTTATCAAACAAAACAGCATACGACCCAGGCTACTGAGAACTTCGGCGACCACAACACATCCATAGATTCGATTCGTATAGTTCGACCACATGTAACATCAATGAATGCTCCGGAGGCTGGTTGTGCAAAAAACTTAGCTATAAACTTCTTACCTGAGAATATTGAGAGTTTGGAATGTTTGGAATGTGGAAAACGTATGGGTGATTCTGAACATGCGTAAGTTTTTGAAATATCGATCACATAATTGGTGTATAAAAATCAAATAAAACCACGAAAAAGAATTATTTCATTTGCCCTACAGCAAAATCTATAGAAAAATGGAACAACTGCCTTTATGTGACTGTTAATATAATAATATTCACTCACTTATTATATCGATCTCACTTGGATAAATTACTGAATGTAGTAAGTATGAGGTTATAAGATTGTTTAACTAGAGCAATTAGAGTGCTATGAATGTACAATATCTTAGACTTTTGAACGATTCTAACTACATTAGATTGAAATAAGCGCCATAAATACTAAATATATGTTTTCCAGGTCGTATGATCCAACGGAGACCTTCAAAATAACAAATACAAGCAATTTTTATTTGCTTTTTCAATAAATCTTTTAAGCCATTTAATGGTAAACCCTCTTTCATCTCCACTTCAACAATAATCTTGTTTGCAGGCAATATTTACCATGTTCCGTGTGCAGATTTGCAACATGCTGTAGTGTTGGCTTTCAGCGTCATTTTCAAAAACTTCATGTCTATTCGAATGCTTCTCAATCAACAGATCTTGATTGTGGTATGCCAATGGTTCGTCAGATCTTTTTCGACTGGTGCAATGAATACAATCTTCCATGCAACGACAATGCGTCATCGGGACTAGCGACTGTTTCAGGTGATCGACAAGATCTTGTCATAAATGAGATTACGGATTTGACACCTAGTGACATGGGAAATTTTACAACAATTGTCTTTACTGACGAATTGGGCAATGTTGTGAATGTACCAGAAACTGAGAAGCAAAGTTTAACGAAGCAGCCTAACCCGAATGACTCTATAAGAAGATATATGGAAAGTCAAGTCGATTCACGACTTCTATACTGTTCACACTGTGGAACAAGTAACCTAGATGGCAATAGTCTTGCACGACACCTTGTTGAAGAATGTGGAACACTAACTGCAACGCTGCGTCCAGACATGTCAATATCATTTGCACAGACAGAAGCTAGACAAAGTGAAGCTTCTGAAAAACATCAAGAGTCGGATCGAAATGAAGTAGGTTGATACCTTATCGTCTTTTAAACTTTTTACGAATTTAGATTACTGAAAATCACAAATGAAGTCTTAGCCGAGTAGAAATGCAAAAAAGATCTTGACTATTTAGGTATGAATTCTTAATCAGCGGCATGTTTCATGAGTGTTCTTTTTTTGTGACCTTCAACTATGATACTGACAAACAAACTTCTTATATGCGAACCTAAAACTGAACCGAGGCATAGTATATATATATATATATATATATAAGCAATGGCCAATTTCTGATTGGCACAGTTTAGTTCATCAACCTGTTCGGCACACTTAGAAAATTGAGCTCTAGTTACATATTGTTCTTAATTCTTTACGGTTCCCAACTTGTTTTACTTTCTGATACTCCTCTCTATATTCACCGTGGTCACTCTTTGCAACCTACAACCGCGTTTAACTTGTTAATTATTAAAAAGTATTTTTGTTTATACTAAAACATGACTAAAAATAAAAAAAATACCCGGTTCGGAATACATTCGCACTAGCGGTAGTTGATTAAAATATATGATCAGTTTGAATTGTAGGGTAAAGAAGCTCATTAACACATCAGCGACAGTCCACCCGCAAGAGATTAATGTGCCATGTAAGGCAAGATTGGTTATATTCTGGATTAAGATACAGGTACGATATGGGTTTCGTAAGTAAATTATACATCCAGTCAAGTTCACTGTCCTCACATTTTTGTTCGGCTTAACCTAGACACTTCTATTTGTTCATCTGAATTATAGGCATGACTTTCTGAATGTTTCCAGTGAAGCCCCATTTTCCTTCCTCCATATAATAGATTAATGAAGTTCTGATGGGATTGTGACTCAGTCGAATCACATAATAAAATGCAAAACGATTCATCTAACATGACAAGGTAGTAATGAAACATAATTCTGGTACATTCGGTACTGTAATTTGTTGGCGCGTATGTGATTACAAAGATTGCACTTCCCACATTCACAACTATTAGTGGGAGTGTAGTCAAATACATCGGCCCTAGTAGAATCACACTGACGTCAAATAACAAGCTTACATGGTTTCCGGATGTATATGGGACATACTTTTCAAACCTACATTCAGAGAACAATTATGAATTCCCAAGGTGTGATAAACATCAACAAAGTATCTTTCTAAAAACAACTAGACATGTCCGTCTGACCTACGTTCGATTGGCATGTGTAATATCACAGTGCTGCTTAATATATCATGTTCAGTTATAAATTTCTGAACGCAATCGTTTAGCATCTTAGTGAAGTCTAAAGATGTCAGACATCTCATGATGAGCCGCTGGAGTATACAATCGGGTTTAAAAACGTAAACTGTAAGGACTAGTGTATGAGAAAAGCAGTCCATAACCGTCCGTTCCTTACTTAGTACGCTTCTATCTTTAGCTGTTTCTGATAACGTCCCAAGTTTATGGCCGAAGTAGGAATCAAGTCATATGGTGAAGCCGTTGCCCCACATAGACCAAATTAACTCAATATTTCAAGATTCACCGAGTTCGGTTGCAAGTGGTATGAGATATTCTAGTTTTCCACTTTAAATATCCTACTACTTCTTAATGGTCTATATATAGCTATCTGTTGTGCCCCGATAAGCATAATGAATAACTTGGGGGATCCATTTATGGACCAATACTATGCATATAATTTTGTCGTATAATTGTTAGGTAACTAAACTATTCATGCCCCTCTTTATTTTGACCTATCAACTACTATTATACGATTTACCATTCTTGAATCATGCCCTGTTTATTAACTACTACCTCGCACGTTCACAGCTACATTTAGCCAATTCTTGTACAAATGTTGTTTCCTATTTTATGGTACGATGTGGTCTGTCTGGTTGGTATATAAACCTAGTATGTATGAAATAAACGATTCATATCGCAGAAGCTGATATTGGTGTTCTGGACTTAACTGGCTGGGCTATGCAGGAAGCAGGACCGATAAGTACTCTAGACTGCTCACACGAGTTTTAGGCGTCATTTCTCCGATCGATAATTCACTGCTCTCTAATTGGCGGTATCGTTATGTTATACATGAACAGGGCACACAAGTAACATGTTAAAACGGTATCAATCTAGCAAAATATTATTTCACGCTAACTCGTAATTTATATTTAATTTCAGAGTGATAACCCATATGGAACTACAGATCAGAAGATTATCATGATTAGTGAACCTTCCTTATTGTCTACATCAACTACCAATATTTCCGATAATGATGTGGTTATGATGACCGTTGATACAGACCAGGCACAGTCTATGAGACTTGTTGAGTCACAAGAAGATCAAACAGCCATGCTCAGCGGAACTCAGATTACAACTCAAAGCGATGGAACAACCACCATTGATGTAACTGATGAAGGTGGTGAAGTGGTACAACAATTTATACTTCCTGATGATCTTCAACTTGAAGAAGGTCAGACATTAGTAATGATTCAAGGTGAAAATGGTCAACCTCAACTAGCAATTGTAAATCAAGCTGGTAATTTTACATTATTTTTAAAAAATTTCTTTACTTTCTAAAATCTAGACTTAATAAACGATAATAATTCAGAAATATTAGTACAGACTGAGAATGGTGAAGCTAATGATATCCTGATTTACACTAATGTAAGTGATCTTTATAATTTCCCTATGTAATCTTAACTTTTCTATAAATAGGGCTTAGAAACTCAAGTTGAAAGTTCAGAATTAAACAGAGGAGAAGAAGAAAAAGAAAATCAACAATTCATTGTATAATATTTATTATTTCATCTGTGTTTATATCTATAAATCTATATAAATAAATTTATGTTTACAATTTTTCAAGTTTTTATGGTGGTGGTGGTGGTCGTGGTGATAATAAACGCATAAAAGTTGTTATACTGCTTGTCACTTTATGAAGTGAAACGAAAGGTTTTGTTACTACGGTAACAAAACGTGCTCGTTCCGCTAAACTTGTATAACATAAACAATCTGTTATAATTTCAATTAAAATATTACAATGTGGAATTTGTATTAACTTCAATTTATATTCTTGATTAATAGTGTGTATATTGCCAGTTATAAAACTTAATAAAACAAATTGTTTATATGGAAATAATTTGGCTAAAGAACAATAAAATTCTGCATATTTGATTATAAGTCTTTGAGGTGGTGGTATACCTTTAGACAATATTAATAATAGACATACATTAATTTCAAATAATAGTTGATCATCTAAAATAACTAATGGATCAATAGTTTTGTTTTCATGAGTTAATATGGTTAATAAATCACAAGCTAATTGGATACATGATTCAACTGTTGACCATTCTGGTACACTGATACCGCTAAATGCTAATGATAAAAATAATTTGAATGATCTATGTGTATCATTAAGTAAATTGAAAATAGTTTGTTTTTCTTGATTTTCTTTTTCTTCCTAGAAAAAAAAATTTGTTTATGAAGAGAAAAAAAATGTTGCGTTAACATTTTGTAAGAACTACAATTGAACAGTTTCCATAATGAAAGGGGTAGAAAGCAAACTGTATTTGTAAGGAAAAATCTTAACAAATTAGTTGAGATCATGAGTTAATTGAAGTTAGACCACCATGGAATCATTGGTCGGCCATTTTGTCTTATTGTGGGACTCAGCAATGCGCATCCATGATCCAGCCTCGCGAGATTCGAACCCACGACCTATCGTCCAGCTTTAGACCACTAATTTGGCATCCTATGATGTTAATGTCTAACTTCAACTAACCCACAAAATCAAGTCACAGGGTAGTTTTATTCGAGCTTCTTTATGGAAATAATCAAAATTGATCGAATATAAATCGATTCACAAAATTACTATCCATTTACGTTGAGATGTTAAAATTGTAGACGTAGATATAAATCATTAATGTGAAAATAATAGTATGCCTATTTGATGTTTGACAATCCATATGACCGCGAATGAAATTAATTATTACTGTTGTGTCAATTATTTTAAATAAACTGTTTATGATCAATTGAAACAACTGATCAAAATAGATGGAAGTATGTCATCGATGTCTACAAAATGCAAAATAATGGAGTCGTGAAATAAATGAATTTATATTTACTAATCATTAGTTGGCACAGTGCAGATTGCTATACAACATTTCGCTAATCTAATTTGTGTGGGTATGTACATATGTGTAAGGATTCGTTTGTCTTTTTTGTGTATGTTCAGTTCTCCACTGTGTTGCTGATCTATTTTCAAGTTTCTTGATGTCTTCCAAAGATTTCGTACTATGCTCAAGCAGTTTGTCTTTTTTTATTGACTGGAAAATGTTGATGAGCAATATATCCTCTTACCCAGTTTTTAAATAGTACTGAAATAAGAGTTATCTTGTTCAACACTTTACCATTCACAAAGATACTGCTTTCTGTAAGAGTTAACGTATTTTCATGGATGAAACGTTTGTGAATGTAATATTTAGGCGAGAAAGTACCATTTCCTCCTTTAGTCTATTTATTGCAAAATGTATATTAAACTACATGTCACATGATATCATCAGTACTAGGTTTAGTAAATAAACAGTATACCTAGTGTGGTTATTATAAAGCCTGGTAGAATTTAGTCTGATCATGCAGTTATCGAGTGGTTTGATAAAAAAATTCATGAACTGTGATACTAAACATACAAACAAATATTTGGCTCAATCAAGTGGTTAACTTGATGTCAAACTTCTGTAGTCAATGGGTGTTATAATCCTGCTTCTTCTTACGGTTATGACCCAGCTATTCCTATTGCTTAGTATTCTCGGACACCGATTCACTCGACAAGTCCCCAAATCAAAACACGGTTGGACAGGAAAGAGATTATATTCCAAATAGCAAGTCAGAAGCCAGTAGGAAGCACAATAGGGAAAACGTCAGTATATTTATAGTTTTTACATAAGAAGATTCTAGAGTCTTCTCCAACTATCGACCAGTGCTGATTGGATAAGAATTAGCCAATCAGCGTGCACCAAAGCAATCATGCATTGAGCATGCTTTAATCTAGTCTATGTCCCGCTAACACCTCCCCTCTGAGCAGATTCGTAGGATCTGGTGCTAGGGTCCAACTGCAACTGAGTGACTGGCTTGTGCTTTCGATTAGTCCATCGTCTAGGCAATGAAGAATTATCACTTTTTCCTTGCACAGAGACTGACATGTCTGTTCCCGGCGTTTTGATTTTTCTTAAAAAAAGTATGCATAACTTTTAATTCTCCAACATTCTCCTCCTCCGCGAAACAATGTCGGATCCTTATATCTCCAAGTTACAAATAATAGGACTTTATTTAAACGATGTTTCTCGCATTGAATGTCGGATCCACTAGAAACGACTAGATGATAATGAACGACCTTTGATTTGAGGTCAAAGTTTAATTCTTCTGAAGCATTACTTTCAAATCCATTAGGAATTTCATCAGTGGATAATGGATCATTACGGAAATCATCATCTAACAAAATTAAATTAGACTTTTGACCATAATTTGACTCAGCTGATATATTTTCCTGATTTTTATGAGAAATTCCATCAAAATAACATGCATTGTTCTGAGAACCCATGTCTGATACATTGTCATTAGAAATCGGATAAGCTGATTCAATATAAGTTTCTGTCTCACAATGATTTTAACATTCGGTATAATTGGGTTCGTTGTGTCACTGCAGTTATTTTCTGAATACGAGTCCCCATAGCTTTCTTGGTTAATATCACGTGGACCATAAATTTGTTCTAGCTGAAAGTTATTTTCAGAGCTAGACAGGACCAGTAGTGCTTCATTCAATTCTGGACTCCGGGCTTCATCTACAGGGTCTGACTCTTGATAATCTCGTATTGCCACAACTTTATGAGCATTCAGCACAGGATTTTCTTGCTGTGAGCCGGAAACTTTACAAATATTACGTTCTGATTCAGGTATAAAGGGATTTGAACCCTCCACTAGATATGCTTCTGAAATGTCTGTTACTGCATCATAAACAGATTTCTTATTTTCTGGTCGAGTGAAAAGTGTGTTCAATAGTTGTTGTTGCAAGGCTAACAACTTCTGCTGGTGCTGTAATATTAACCGCAACTGTTCTAAAGAAATCGCCATTTTTCTTTAGTTTTTCCCCGTCGCCACTGTTATAATCCTGCTTCTTCTTACGGTTATGACCCAGCTATTCCTATTGCTTAGTATTCTCGGACACCGATTCACTCGACATGTCCCCAAATCAAAACACGGTTGGACAGGAAAGAGATTATATTCCAAATAGCAAGTCAGAAGCCAGTAGGAAGCACAATAGGGAAAACGTCAGTATATTTATAGTTTTTACATAAGAAGACTCTAGAGTCTTCTCCAACTATCGACCAGTGCTGATTGGATAAGAATTAGCCAATCAGCGTGCACCAAAGCAATCATGCATTGAGCATGCTTTAATCTAGTCTATGTCCCGCTAACAATGGGTTTGGTTCCCGTAAGTTTGGAAAACTGCCCACAGTGTATGTATCACTGTTTTACGGAATTTCAATCAGATAAATATACTCACAAAACATCAAGGTATAACTACAGTTTTTATTATTATATGGATTGGCATTTGTTGTCTAAAAATTAAGATGTAGTCTACATCGCTTTAATAATTACTGTCCAGTGCCTTGAAAGAGAATGCATGTGTACTTATTTATTTAAACACAAAAACATAGGGACAAGTCACCAAATAGATATGCGCCACATAAATCATTTCATCTGTGTGAGGGCTAATATACTGTCCGGGTACCCAAAATGAAGCCCATGGTTTTCTTGAGGGAACCCACCCGGGGCCTTCGACTTAAAGGTCTGAATCAAAAGGCAGTGTAGCAACATCAGGAGATCCAGTCCCATATTAGCCAGTGACCAACGATTGGTTCATACTCCATTAGTTTCCTTAGGATCCTGGAGCCAATGTACACAATTTGTTTAGAATTAAGGTTCCCCAGGTGGATTCTCCATATCCACCAATTCGGCTAAAGCGCTGGACATTCACTTTTCATCCTCTCGATTTCGTAAACAACAGTAATGCCACGAGAATGAAGTGATTAGAACTTCCCTGACAGTGGTTGTATGCATGTGGCCGTATTAGAGCAATTCGGGAGAGAGAGGGGGGTTGGATCTTCCCATTCTCAGTCGTACTAGGGCATTTGGGGGTATGTGTAACTGTTACCTACCTACTTGGATCAATTTCACCAAAACGATAACTGTGATCGAAATTCATTATTTCAAGAATAAATACATTCAAATTAATCTTTACTTTAATACATGATATCTTACTTACATGAAATTTGAAATTGATGAATTGTCTAACAAATCTACTTGATATTTCAATTTCTTCTGTAATAGATTGTGCAATAAATGACATTAAAATTGGTGATATAGGATGATTGATACGTTCTTCTTTTGTATAACCAATACATTTTCCAAACAATATATCATTATTATCACCAATCAATTGAACTTGATTAATCAATAAAATATTGATTTTATCGAATATATTCGAGAATAAATTAGTAGCTAATTGTAATAATGATAAATATTCATTCATATGCCTACATTGATCATTGAATAACCATTCAATATAATATTGAATAGACTTTAATATAACATCATCTAATTTATTATATTTATTTAATATATTATCAAATGTGAAATATATACAATTGATTGATTCTTTCACCATAGTAACTATGACATCATCAATCGGATTTTTTAATAGATATGTGAAGATATGTAAACTGACTCGTAAGAGTTTATGATACTGTTTGAGGAGGGGGGGGGGAAATGGGAAAAAAGCAATATTATGAAGATTGTCAAAGGTAAATCAATATCGTTTGTGTTGTGCCTTTAAAGTTCGATTAGTTATCATGTGATTTATTCGTCCATTGAAATACGACTTATTCAATCTTAGGTATAAACAGCCTAGAGTTCACCTAGCCCATCCAGTTGAATACAGAACGCTAATAACAGCTTTCATTATGAGATTCATTTATCTCAAACATAATTGGTTTATATACCAGCTAAACAGACCGCACTATACCATAAAATAAGAAATAGCATTTGTACAAGATCAAACCAAAAAGTGGCTGTGATTATGGGAGAATGTAATCAATAAACTGAACATAGTTTAAGAACAGTAAGCAAAGATGGACAGTAGCTAGCAGATGAATCCAGGACGTGCGTTTCGTCCTATTTTGGACTCGTCAGATGGGTGTACCCACACCCAAGATTTGATGTTAAGTCCAGGACTCGAACCTAGTACCGTTCGATTCAAACGCCATCATGTTATCCACTTAGCTACTGAGTGCTGATAGCCACTTGCTTGTGCAATGGGGTGAAGACTGAACAGAACGATGCTGGGTTCGATTCGGGGTACACATCGACTCTGAGATGTAGGTATATCCAGCTGACGACTTCCTAATAAAAAGAGGCACGCATCCTGGATACCATTGCTAGCCATCACCGATCTTCGCTTATAAAGCTTGTGACTTAAGGTAATATCGAGGCAACCCACACAGGATACACATATTCCGACAAGAGACTGATCAATTGCTCGAATATAACAGTCACCATATCTTCATATTATTATTATTATTTAAACACATAAATATTGGTGCAAGAAGGCACCGAATAGATGTGCGCAATATAAATCATTCCATTTGTGTGAGGGCTGAGATACTGTTTGAGTTGTAAAACGGAAACAGGTGGTTTTCTTGGGGGACTGAACCCGGGACCTTTGACCTAGAGGACTAGTCTACAAGGCAGTGGAGCAACGTTAGGAGATACAGTCCCATGGTACCCTACTTCCTCACGCCTGTTACTCCTCGTGGAGAAGCATAGACCGTACACCAGCATTCTGCACCCAACCCTGTCCTGGGCAATCCTTTCCAGGTGTTATTCATTCTTTTCATATCTGCTTCTATTTCCCGACTGAATGAGTTATTTGACCTTCCTCTTCCCCGTTTCCCTTCAGGATTCCAAGTTAGGGATTGCCTTGTGATGCAGTTTGATGATTTCCTCAATGTATGTACTATCCGCTTCCAACGTCTTTTCCTAATTTCATCTTCAGTTGGAAGCTGGTTTGTCCTCTCCCATAGTAGGCTGTTGCTGATTATATCCCGCCAATCGATGTTGATTATCTTGCGTAGACAACTATTTATAAATACTTGTACCTTCTTGATGATGTCTGTAGCAGTTCTCCAAGTTTCAGCTTCGTACAGTAGAACTGTCTTAACGTTTGTATTGAAGATTCTCACTTTGATATTGGTTGACAGTTATTTTGAGATCCATCTGTTCTTCAATCGTAGGAATGCGGCTCTTGCTTTGCCAATACTCGCCTTTACGTCTGCATCCGATCCTCCTTATTCATTGATGATGCTTTCCTGGTACGTGAAGGATTCCACATCTTCCAGAGCAAGCGAATGCGATATTTGTAAAATAATTGAAAAGTTCACTTCTACAAGTCATAGGGTCTGGTGTTAAGATGGTGATTAGAGGTAGTCAACAGGAAACCCTGGACTTAGGTTTCGTGCTGCTTGTCACTTGTCAGCAAGGTGTACCTGTATTCTTGAAGGAACTGTTGCTCACTGACGAATTCGATCCTGTGTCATGTACCTCAGGTCCTTCTTGATGCAGATCGACTAGTGGCCACATTGCAACTGACATACATAACACTGATCACCACCCAGTGATGAAAAAATTTTCATCCGATATATAATGCAACTCTATAATGAAGAAATTTATATCAATAATTCTTGCTCCCATTACTATAATATTATACATCAGGTAGAAACACATAAAAATACTAATAATGAGGAAAGGAAAATTTCTGACCTGCATAAAATATTCGGGAAGGTTGGAAAACATAACTTCTGTTAATGACTCTTTCAAGTAACATAATAATTTTGATAGAATTGTTATAATGTGTTCATTGACTAGTCCATTATCAATTAGCTGTTCAATTGAGACAAAACCACGAAATGTTTGAATGAACGAGTTCAGCTGCAATTAGATTTTTTAAAAATAAGAATAATGATTAGTATTAAACAATAAAGCCTTTCTTAATCAATAGATCAGTCCGATAATAAAAACTGTGTTGTTATAATCTAACGCGTTTCTTGATACTATTGACAAGTTCATGGGTAAAATAATATGGATGATCGATCCATTTTAGTAAATGTCATGTCACTAGTATTCAAGTAATCATTCAAATTCTGGAATCCTACTAAACATGCCCTGATACGGCCGAGAGTGGGAGAAGTCAATTCTTCCTTTCGAAATGCCCTCATATGCATACAACCACTACCAGGGAAGTTCTACTCACTGCCTTCTCGCGGTGGGAGTGTTAACGAAATTAAGAGGATGGAAAGCGAATGTCCAGCGCTTTACCTGGGTTGGTGAACACGGAGAGTCCACCTAGGGGAATTGCAAAACCCTCATTCCAAACAAACTGTGTACATGAGCTATAGGATCCTAAAGAAACAAATGGCGTATGAACCAATTGTTGATCACCAGCTACCATGGAACTGGATCTTCTGACGTTGCTACACTGCCATATGGATTAGACTTTTAGGTCAAAGGCTCCGGGTGTGGCTCCCTAAGAAGACCATCTGCGTTTTTCGAGGAACCTTCTGGACTCCCTAACACATGGTTTCCAGAATCCTGAGGGACCGACTGGTGTACAAACTTATCCTTAGTCACCGGTTTTTACCATAGGATCTCACCTCATGAAGTTGTGCCACTGTCTTGTGAATTAAACCCCTAGATCAAAGGCTAAGGAGCTGATTTCCAGAGAAAGACACCTGCTTCTGTATGAGTCATACTACAAACTCAAATGATATTTGTTCCATTTAATTAGAATATATTTATTTCACATTCGTTATTTACTTTCATTTTTCAACTCACTAAGCAGTTAGTCTCTGATAAAGGTTCTGTTCTGTCCTAACAGTTTTAAGTTGCTGAATGGTTGAAATTATGCATGATGAAACTGACTGAAAAAATAAATTATCGACGTGTCCCATTTAAACTAGCCTCCAACGTTTGCATTCAAATCCAGATTGGATAAAAGACATATTTGGCTGCATTTGGAAGTTTTGATATCAACGTTCGCAGCAACTCTGAGACCTAGTTTGGTTGGCTTTGGTGTAGCTCAAAGAGCCAAAACATATGCATCACTATTCAGTTTGATACTTATAACAGTTTATTATTTGTTGTTAGAGTAGGAACTCCGATAGATTGGAGTCATGATCCAAGCCAAAAGTCGTTGTGTTTATGTCGAAGGCATTTTTTGTATCATCAAAATCTTATTCTGGATAAAAAATATCAATTTATGGTATGACGTCGTAGAATGAAACATATATATAAATATAATACACTCGTACACGAGGTACTTGGGTATAGGCCGCACTCTAATTGTGGGTGCTAATGATACTAACCGGCTTCCCAAATTCAAGTATATAGAGCAGCGTATGAAGTATAGGAGTGTGTCGTTAGTGTGTTACTGTCCGACGATTGAAATTCGAGAAACTATACAACTCAACGGTTCCATATGATATCAATAATAGCTAAGAATTAATAAACAACGAAATGAATTAATAGACATAAATAACCATAAAAAACATGTTAATTGACTATAAACTAAACGACTCACTAGAATCGCAATAAAATAAGACTTTCTGTTAACTTCATTCTGTTTACAAGTGAACTGTGAACAAACTGATATAGCACTTTGTGGAAGATCACTGAAATCTGAAGCAGCGATAATAAAAAAGCAACAATTACATTCAACTGTTCTAATCAATTGTCTTATCTGAATATATGGAACAATTAACTGGAACAGCAAAAATGACCTAAACATTTATTCATTTATCAGTATGAAGTTGTCAGTCAGTCAGTCAGTCAGCTACAAGTTGTGGAGATTATCAAGTTTTTGATTGAGATCCTGAACCGATTGATGTTAGATCACCATTGAAAATCTGGAAGCACTGGGTGGTCGTTTTCTCTTAGAGCAGGACTCCTCAGCAGTGTGCATCCACGAGCCCACCCGTGGGACTACGAACCCAGGACCTTCGTTCTCGAGTGCGAATCCTTAACCTCTAGACCACTGAGATGGTCGGCATCCAACGATATTAATGTCTAACTTCAATCAATCCACGAAGTTGTGCCACTATCCACCATTGTCATTAATGAGTTACTATCTCACAACAGACCTGGTTGAACTCCACTGGTCACAGCTTCTCAATAGAACATAAGATAAATATAGACTTACCTTGTGTAGTAGTAGTACACAATAGTCTGAAAGTTTCCAATCGAATGTATAAAATATTTTGAAATGAACTAATTGTATGCTCTTTGTTTTCTTCTTTAGATAAACGTAATAACATACCAATACAATAAGATATTAAATTATTACTAGTTTGATCAATTGGTTTTGTTTGATTAAGAAAATTTTCCAATGTATTTGTTATCATATCGACTAACAAATTTGATGAAGATAATTTGCTCTATACATATGAAAAACCATTAAAAAAAGAGATAAAGAAAAATCTATATAGACGTTAGAATTATAACAAAAACATGACATCATTGTACCTACAGTATTAACTGATATGTAATATGAGGTTTTGCATTAAATTGGTCAAAAAAAATCCATGTATTCAGAGAGGGAGTTGTAGATATTATAATAATTTTATTGTTCGATTCATGAGTCAATTGAAGCTAGATCACCATGGAAAACCTGGACGGCCTCCTAGTATGAGACTACTCAGCAGTGTACATTCATGATCCAACCTCGCGAGATTCGAACCCAGGACCTGTCGGTATTTGATGAAGTTCTAGTGAGAAGCGGTGACTAGTGGAGTTCAATCAGGGTTATCGTGAGACGAAAGTGGACCGTGGAGCAATTTCGTGAATTGGCTGAAGTTAGACATTAACACTGTTGGATTCCGTCCTGCCCCCAAATGCCCTGGTACGTCTGAGAGTGGGGAGAGTCCACTCTCCCTCCGCCAGAGAAGTGCTACTCACTGTTTTCTCGTGGCGGGGGTGTTGTTTACAAAATTCGGAGGACGAAAAGCGAATATCCGGCACTTTAATGGGGTTGGTGGACATGAAGAGTACGCCCAGGGGAGTTGGGAAACCCTCATTCCAAACCAATGGTGTACATGGGCTCCAGTATCCTGAGGTAACAAATGGCATATGGACCAATCGTTGGTCACCGACTACCATGGGACTGCATCTCCTCACGATGCTCCGCTTCCTTGTGGATCTGACCTGCAGGTTGAAGGCTTCTGGTGTAGCCACCTAAGAGAACCACCTGCTTCGGTTTGGGTACCCGCACAGTATCACAGCTTTCACACAAATCAAATGAGATTTGTGTGGCGTATATGTATCTAGTGCCCCCTTGTACCAATATTTATGTGTTCAAATAAGTAAATTGGATTCCAGCCACCTTAGTGGTCTAGAGTTCGAGTGTTCACGCTCGATACGGAAGGTCCTGGATTCGTAATCCCGCGATGGAAATCACAGAGGAGCACTACTGAAGAGTCCCACAATAGGACGAAACGGTCGTCCATTGTTTCTAGGTTTTCCATAGTGATCTCGCATCAAATGACTCATAAATTCAACTATTAAATCCATATATATATATATGAACAGGAAATGGATCTGTTACGACTGATTATCTATGATCATCAAAACAGAAAATTTAAAACAATCTTCAATTACCTTTAATATTATTTGAAGTACTCTAAGTGATATATGACATAATTCCATTAAATCATTTTGATCATTCTCAACAGTAATACAAGTAGATAATAATGAATTTAAGATAAATTGAATAAGATCAATTTCAGATAATGAATCCATTGAAAGTATCATAGGAGAATAATTTTCTATACATAATAATATAGTATGACATAATAGAAATAGATGAGGTTGTTGTAAATGAACAACAATATTAGAATGAATGAAATAAGTAATAGATTGTTGTAATTTAATAATAAAATTCATTATAATATTTGATATTAATTGAGCAAAATTTAATAAAGGTATTATACCAGATTCATTTTCATAGATAACATGTTCACTAATTGATGATAGAATAAATAGTAATGCTTCAGATTCCTAAGTTAACGGGAAAAAAAGCAAAACAAAACACAAATGAATGTGAAATATCTATTATTGTGTGTTAAGGTTTATGTATTATTACTATTATTATTATTTTAACACATAGATATTGGTACAAGGAAGCAGCAAATACATATGCGCCACACAAATCTCATTCGATATATGTGAGGGCTGTGATACTGCCCGGGTGTCCAAACCGAACCAGGTGGTTTTCTTAGGGGACCACACCTCGAGCCTTTGATCTGAAGGTCTGATCCATAAGGCAGTGGAGCATAGTAAGGAGATGCAGTCTCATGGAAGCCGGTGACCAACAATTGATTCATACACCATTTGTTCCTGCAGGATACTGGAGCCCATGTGCACCATTGGTTTGTGATCCGGTTAAAGCGCCGGACGTTCGCTTTTCGTCCTCTCATTTTCGTAAACAACACACGAGAAGGCAGTGAGTAGGACTTCCCCGGCAGAGGCTATATACGCGTGACCATGTGAGAGCATTTCGAGAGGGAGAGCGGACTCTCCCCACTCTCGGCCGTACCAGGGCATTTGGGGGCATTATGTGTGTGTTAAGGTTTATGATCATGTAATAAAAGCATATCTGTTGGAAACAGATATGCTTCGCTTTTAAAATGACTTCAATGAACTACCCTGGTACGGCCGAGAATGGGGAGAGTCAACTCTTCCTCTCAAAATACTCTCACATGGACACGTACAGACAATCACTACCAGGGAAGTCCTTAATTATTATCTTCTGGCGGCATTACTGTTGTTTACGAAATTGAGAGGACGAAAAGTGAATGTCGGGGTTGGTGTATAAGGAGGATCCATATAGGGAAGTTGCAAAACCCTCATTCCAAACCAGTGGTGTACATAGGCTATGGGATCCTAAGGGAACAAATGGCGTATGAACCAATTGTTGGTCATCGGCTACCCTGGGACTAGATCTCCTGATGTTGCTACACTGCCATGTGAATTACGCTTCGAGGTCAAAAGCTCCGGATGCGGCCCCATAAGAAAACCACCAGCTTCGGTTTAGGCACTCGGGCAGTATCCCAGACCCCGCACAAATCAAATGATTTATGTGGAGCATATCTATTTGGTGCCTCATTACACTAATGTTTGTGTTTAAATAAATAAATATCAATGCACTTGTGTCAATCGGTAACTACTCAGATATGTTATTATTATTGGATTATTTGCAATACTCAACCACGTGACACTACGTACAGTAGATTGTGACACCGAGTAATTTAGTCTAGTGATCCCATTGTTAACTTAATCCACAGAATTCATACAGACAGATATGTGAAACATAGGACGCATCACAAATGTGCATAACCTCAAGTTAGTACACTTTATGCCAGACTAATAAAAAGAAACCAAGAAGAAAATCTAAGGAGTGAAAATGGTAGTAATATAATACCAGCGATAATGGAAGAGCTTAAATACAATATAGTGTGTGCTACTTATAACATAAGTAGTATATAATGCCAGTCAGGAATAGAATGCCTAACAGCAGAAGATTGAGAAGATCGAGGAGGAAAGAACGGGAACGGAAAGAAATTGGTATGGAAATTCAGGAACAATGAAGTCTGTTATGCCCCGATAAGCATAATGAATGGTAATTTTTGAGTTCCATTTATGGATCAGTACTAAGCGCATATTTTTATCCTATAATTGTTAAATAACTAAACTATTCATATTCGTGTCCCTCTTATTATGAACCTTATTTTCATTTACGAACTATTATCACACGATTTACCATTCTTGAGTTATGGCCTGTCTATTAATTACTATGTCCCTCATTCAAAGCCACATTTGGCTGAATCTTGTACAAATGTTGTTTTCTATTTTATGGTACGATGTGGTCTGTCTGGTTGGTATATAAACCTAGTATGTTTGAAATAAACGATTCATATCGCAGAAGCTAATATTGGTGTTCTGGACTTAACTGGCTGGGTTAGGCAGGAAGCAGGATCGATAAGTACTCTAGACTGCTCACACGAGTTTTAGGCGTCATTGGTCCGATCGATAATTCACTACTCTCTAATTGGCGGTATCGTTACGCTATACATTAACAGGGCACTCAGGACATAAGTTATAACAAAGTCTGAATCAATCAGTGAACATTACCTAAATGAAGTATTAGAGTATGGTTTTTTTATTTTATCAAGTAACTGTAATTTTGTGCTAAATATAATCGGTTGTCCTTATCTGTGTTCATTACAACAGAAATAAACATCAAACAAATGGATGAAGTTGAGAAATCAAAAGTATCAAACAATGACACATTTACACCATTGAGGCCGATTTTGAGTCATGACATTTAAGATTTCCCTCTAGTTACTTTGCCAACAGGTCAGTAATAAACGTTGGATTTGGTACAAACAACTATTGCATTAACTTACTGAAATTCAAACCAACCTGACAAGAGGAAACTAACAAGAAGGTGAGCAAATGAATTGAAGTAATAATACCGATTGTAGTTGAGAACTAAACACAGGAAAATTAGTTCCGACAGAACGGACGTAGTTGGAATAGGAAAGTGTAAATATTAAAGTTCGAGATATGAACTGGGTTTATCTGTGTCACTGTGACTGATTTCACCGTAAATAATCTTAAGAAATGACAGTTTCAGTCTGATCATTTTAACCTCTTTTTAAGCCTACTTCGTATGCCGATCATCATAGAACGAATACGTATCATAAACCTTAACCATCTGCACTATTGCAACAAATTTTCAGTCATGAAATCCAAGATTTTTAAATAAAGATTATGATCATTTTGCTCACCATAAGCAAAAAACTTACATATTTCAATACACTTCTGGTAAATAGCCAATGGTCTCACGAACTGATGAAAGAAAAAACTTCAATGACAGACAAACTCTTACTATCAGGAAATAATGAGAACGGTAAAGTTTTATGGAAATTAATGCAGGACTATTCAGTCTGGCTTGAACAGCTTCCAGTACCCACTTACTGAGTGACTAGTATTTTTATAGAACACAGAGGAGACCTGTTTAGTAATTGACTACATCATCTGCAATACTCATCTTAACTGTAATTTTCTAAATCTATTTCAAACAAATTTAGACAAATACGTTTATTTGATGCAAAAAAACAACCACCATTTTTGTAAAAGCATACTAGACTGTCAACCAAGACATTTCACAGAATCCGTTGAGTAAAAACAAAAAGTAAAAAGGCAACTACCAAAACATACAAACCTGCCAATTGGCTAATAATTCCTCATTTGTACAATTGTATATAGTAGACTGAAGTTGATTAGTTGCTTGAAGAAACCAGTCATGCAAATTCAAGTATCTGAACACTGAGAGAAAGCAGTTACTTATTTCTTGACGAAATTTCAACCAACGATCTCTATCCTCTTGGTTCCATATGGTATAAAATTGATTTAAATCTTTTGGATAATGGGACTGGAAATGGCATGATAAATATTAACATACTGTGAGAATTTATATGCTGAAATATTTATTAGTGTACAATCAATCAAGATATACATTGACTCAAGTTCTTTTACCCCACAATGAGCACGACTAAATGAGATTAACAATACGTGCAACAAAAAATTAAAATGCTACTTAAAAAACACTACGCATTTAGAAGACATTCAGAAAATACAAAGTGGGAGGGTGTCAATAAAGGAACACTAGAACTCCAGATCGAGAGGTAGACAAAGAAGGAGTGCACCTGCATAATCGCGAACGACTCAGCGCTGTTACCTAAAATCTTTAGATATAGATAGCGGTTATCTCAAGGACCCCATCCAAGTAGTCTGCATCTACTAGCATCATCAAATTCAGCAGGATAACGCACTCAAGGTCGGTTAAATCAAAAGACTATCTTTGCTGCTCGGAGATATTTGTATATGAAAATATAAAATAGGAGAACGGCAAGACTAAAAGCAGCAACTTAGGGCCCGAGAGTGAAGTCATACTCCTGACTGTACAGGTAGTGACAGCATAAGGGGTTTCACTAGCGTCTGCAGCGATGTTTACTTCTCACAACGGAAGGAAGTGATTAAATAAGGTCGACCCTAAAAATGTTACACCTCACTTTAAACCACGGATCTCCTCCGGCGTTTTTGAAGTGCGGAGCTAACTCATCAAGAACTCCCCATAAAAACGCTGTGCGAGAGCGGCACCAAGCAGTTATCCCTTGGGCTCTGCGGTCACACATACCTGCTTGGGGTTCGCGCGATTATAGTAACCAATCGTTAGAGACTTTGAAAGACATGGCTCAAAATTGTTTAAAATGGTGTAGGTGCATCCGTTCTTTGCCTTTCTCCAAATCCTGAGATTCTAAATTTCTCATAACATTTTTGTTTCTGTTTTGCTAATTTATTTTTCCTTTTTGAGTCGTATCTTAGATGCCTAACCTTTCCTATTACTAATGATATTGTTACTATCTCCATTATTCTGGGGTTTGTCTGATAATTTTATCTCGGTGTGCTAATGGAGAAAGGCAACTTGAACCGATGTACATATATACAGATTCTACGTTGTGACTAACTGACTGAGATGAATAAACCTCGCGCAAATATCTAAGAACCACAACTTTAAATCTGATAGTTCGTTCATAAATTATTATCTCTCTGGATTAAGGTTTTCATCATGAAGTGACACCAGATCTAGTGTGAAGATTCGAAAACCCAGATTTTCATCCTAATTCCAAACATAATAAGTAATTCTATTATCCTTGTCGTCTCCTAATTGACTAAAATAGGTTAGAATCTCAAGATCGTCCAAATCCTTACTTTACATTCAACGTTTCGTTTTTTCTATGGTATATTACTGGTGTTGATATGTCTAATAAGTTAGAGAAACCATTAGGGCAGAAGTAAACTGTGTAAGACCTACCGACATATAATAGTATTAAAAAATGTTGCTACTTGATTTTAACGCGGAACCCAAACACAACGATGGATAGCATGTAAAAACTCATACGAAAAGGTTCATCATTTGTGTCAAAACACCTTAACCTTTGTAAATTTATCACGTTTTTATTATAGGCTGTTTAATAATCATACGCCTTTCCGATTGGTTAATATGTGACTCAGGGTTATTTGGGAGCCTCCAAGGTCGCCTACACAATTCAATTTTCCTGTTGTTCACTTTAGAAAAATTCAAATTGTTCTGTAACTAGCAATTACTCTAAGCCCAACAATATGAGTCAGTTATATGGGATTATCATATCATAAAAGTCATAACAATATTGCAGCGCAAAAAGTCGAGAGAACAATTGATACAACGATAATCATGAAAAGTTATAAATAATATTGATTTGGGTCAATCCTAACAAAAATCTATCCTTAAGAGCGAATACTACATATAAAAATTATAAAAGACGTCTCAGGTTAGCTCTCTGAACATGACTTATTCGAACTATTTTATAACTAACGTTTTATGTCAACTTAACTCAATGTAGACAACAATGGATAAGATCTTGCACAACAACTAGTGAATAAGATTTATTTTTCTTTCGATTATTACTATTAATGTTACAAAGACAAATTGTTTAACCTACTTTAATAAATGCGCGTTGACTGAATTCCATATGGATACGTCTAATTGTATCTTCAGATAATCTAGCATCTTCATCGTGAACATTACCAACAGTATATGCAGTTGTGCTAATTGATGCTTCATGAATATTCAACCATATTTGTAAAGCGACATCACTGATATCTTCATCGTAAGGATAATGACCAGTTAGTGAGAATGTTAACAGAAACATATCAAATAATTCATGAATAGACTGGTTAGTGGTATTAACGCGTGAATTACTAAGTCGATGAATGAGATAATCCATCTAAACAAAATGATAAAATAAGATGATAAATGTCTACAGGATAGAAAACCTTAAAATAAGTAGGAGAATATAAGCAATAAACAAAATATAGCGGAACAGGCAAAATACATGCCTCATGTAATAGAATATAACCTAAACTGATGCTAAGGTCAACAGTACAATCTACTATCTGAAGATGAGCTTTATGAGGTAACAAGATTTCTATCAGTGAACTGACGGAATTTTGATAATCTAATATTTGCCCTATTCACAAAGTCGTTTGTTTAACACATTAAGCAGTATAATTTTTGATGCTAGAGACTAATAATTTCCTAACTCTATGTGAAGATTGAAAATAAGTACCATATATCGGACGGATATAACGAAAGGTTTCCCGATATAACTCAATCGGGGCATTTACTTATCTGACTATTAGGTGCATTTAGGACTGACTATTTATGGTTCATTAAAAAGAACCTAATGAAATCCAACAAAACCGCTGAAAATGAAAATGAGTCAGTGACGTAACCCTGAGGTGGTTAATTTCATATGAATGTTTTGAATTCGAGGATAGTGGATTTTTAAACATTTCTGATCAGGTAGTGTTTAGCTAGTTGTTGACAACACAGAACTTGTCACAAATGCAAACTTGTCGAAGTTTAATAACAATGTTTAATGACAAACATTATCAAATCAAATCGGAAATGATTTACTCAAGAACTAATGCGTTTTAAATCCTTATGAAGATTCACAGACTAAAGAAAAACCGCTGAAATTATAAACAGTTAAAGAAAGCTCCATTATTAATCTCTACGTTTTGAACTCCAAAACAATTTACACCAGCTGTAACTAAAGAGCGACCACCTTAAACAAGCTGAAATAAAAGTGGATGACAAGCTATTACTAAAACACAACATAGTGTTAATATATATTGAGAAACCTTCAACTGTATGAAGTATTATAAGGGGCTTCTTAGTTTAATAAATATATACGAGAGATTTGACAGTTTTTTATAGTAAACAAATCAAAATCACACGGTGATCATCTTCAAATAACCAAATTATTCTGCTAAAAAAAGTGTATTACGCTCTTATAAAAATTCTGTCAAGTCCACTTTAACATTATAGTACGTACTTACGCCTGTTACTCCTCGTGGAGGAGCATAGGCCGCCGCTTCCCTCTAGGATTCCAAGTTAAAGCTTGCCTTGTGAAGCAGTTTGATGATTTCCTCAATGTATGTACTATCCACATACGCCGTCTTTTACTAATTTCATCCTCAGTTGGAAGCTGGTTTGTCTTCTCCCACAGTAGGCTGTTGCTGATTATATCCCGCCAATCGATGTTGATTATCTTGCGTAGACAACTATTTATAAATACTTGTACCTTCTTGATGATGTCTGTAGCAGTTCTCCAAGTTTCAGCTTCGTACAGTAGAACTGTCTTAACGTTTGTATTGAAGATTCTCAATTTGATATTGGTTGACAGTTATTTTGAGATCCATCTGTTCTTCAATCGTAGGAATGCGGCTCTTGCTTTGCCAATACTCGCCTTTACGTCTGCATCCGATCCTCCTTATTCATTGATGATGCTTCCCAGGTACGTGAAGGATTGCATATATTCCAGAATTTCGCCATTAATTGTCAACTGTCAAACGCCTTCTCATAGTCAATGAAGTTGATGTATAGTGACGGATCCTACTCAACTGATTGTTTGACGATGATCCGTAGTGTTGCACCACCGATCCTTACGGAATCCAAACTGTTGATCTCGAAGTTGGGCGTCTACTGAGTCTTTCAACCTGTTGAGCAACACTGTTGAAAACTTTTCCCGGTACTGACAGTAGTGTGATGCCTCTGTAGTTCTCACATTTTCTCGAATCTCGTTTTTTTGGTATATTGATGAGGTGTCCTACTTTTCCAGTCCATCGGCACATGTTCCTCCCCCCAAATTTTTTTTGGATAGAAGGTGAAACATGTTTTTAGTTACTTCAATGTCTGACTCCAATGCTCCAGCTGGTATATGGTCAGGTCCTGCTGTTTTCCCGTTCTTGATTTGTCTGATGGTTATCCTGATCTCTTCGATCGTTGGTGGAGTGACAGCTATGGTAAGGTCTGTGTGTGCTGCTTCGATGTCCAGTGGATTCAATGGAGCTGATCTATTCAAGAGTTCTTCAAAGTGCTCTACCCATCTGTTCCTCAGACTTTAACATTATAATCACACTTAAGTAAGTAAATGAGTTTACAACTACTCAGTGATATAATACAAAAGTCAAACTGTTATGGATTTCTTTTCTGAAATAAGTAAGTCAGTGTCACACTAAGAAAATAATTGTATCAGCATCACTGTTTCGTCAGCTGGTCTCGTTTAACCTATTTCGAATACCAAAGGATGTTGTACATAGTTCACTGATATTATTATTATTATACTCTTGAACTTTGGTACATTATTTTATCTAAACTAAAGATGATATCTAGTTTATTTAACATACCATATATAAACAATCTTGGTTTTTTTAACTGAACCATAAGGTAGGTCGTTAATCACTAAAAAAAGAAACCTTGTCAAGCAGTTCGATTGTCATAGATGAACTACATATTGCCAACTAAAATGTACAATAAAAGTCAATAAACGATTACCTCTTTCATTATTATCTAAAAGGTAATTTTCACATTAGATTTAAATAATATTGGAAGTGGTTTCCGTACATCAAAATATGGTATGGCCGAGAGTGCTCTCACATGGCCACGCGTATACAGCCTTTGCCAGAGAAGTCCTACTCACTGCCTTCTCATGGCGGGGTTGTTTACGAAAGTGAGAGGACGAAAAGCGAACGTCCGGCGCTTTAACCGGATTCCAAACCAATGGTACACATGGGCTCCAGTATCCTGAAGGAACAAATGGCGTATGAACCAGTCGTTGGTCACCGGCTACCATGGGACTTCATCTCCTCACGATGCTCCACTGCCTTGTGGGTCAGACCTTCAGGTCGAAGGCTCGGGGTGTGGTCCCCTAAGAAAACCACCTGCTTCGGTTTGGGCACCCGGGCAGTATCACAGCCCTCATACATATCGAATGAGATTTGTGTGGCGCATATGTATTTGGTGCCCTCTTGTACCAATATTTATGTGTTGAAATAAAAAAATACACACTACTATCATAACAATCATATGGTTATACAAACATAAGCACCTGTTTCTCTGACAAGATTGATAAAAGTAGTACAGTTTTGTTCAATGCTTCATATCCTTTAAATTCATTCCATTGAACACCATTTTGAAGATTTATTGAATGTAATTCGACAAGATGTTGTAAAGTATACTTGAACTTTGTCAATTCGGAGACATGAAAATCAAGTAAAAACCCTGCATCTCTATCTGAACTGGAATTAAAATAGGGAGAGGAGAGTAGCATGTCATTGAGGGGAATAAAAACATATATTGATGAGACAATAGTATCATTTCGTATGTAACTTTCAGCAAGCACATGATTTCTACATCGAATCCGAGATGTAGCTTAGTCGTTTAAACAGTCTACCTTGTTATAAGCAGATATGTATGTGCTGCTCATAAACATCCGAGTTGCTGTTAGTTTCCATGTATTGCATTACAAGAGCTACATTTTCCCTAAAATGCCACAAATGAGATCGACAGTCAAAGACTATAAACCGCGTCTTTTTATTTCTAAGTTAAAATGTTACACTTAATAGCATCTAGACCCCTATTATGCATAATGAAGACATGGTAACCACAATAATCTGATGATTTACATTTGTATTCTCAGTCTATAACTAACTGGAATGGCAAAAGAAGACGATTTTCTGAGAACTGAATTAGTATGTTGAAACCACGGAAATGTAACCAATAAATCAAAACTAAGATTAACTAACTCTTTCTGTTATTTCAATACGAAATATAACACTCTTTCTTTGATTACAATCAGGAGACCAAAAAATAAAAAAACTGATGAGATAGATTAACGTACACTTATTAAGTATTCACTGAAACTATCAGTATGTGAAGGTTGAATTTGGGAAATACAACAGAAATATAATGATAAGTAAAACAAAGCCTTACTTTAATCCAACACCATCGGATTCATATATATTTATTAAAGCATTTATTCCGGTTAAATAAAGGTTTTCAGAATATTGCATTGAATTGTAGATCATATGCACAATATCTAAATAACTGACAACTGATGAATGACAGTTATTTGTCACAAAATTAGACATCCATATTGCAGAAGTATGAATAGCTAGTGAACAAATTTCCTCCTGATTTACGTCGGTAATAAATTGCTGAAACCATGATAAGATTAGAAAAAGTCAGTTAATATACAACATGATTCAAGTTATGGACCGATAAATCTGATCTAGTAAATCAGCAAATAATAACAAACCTCTTCTGATTATTAACAATCTCCGAGAAAATAAGTCGTAATTTAGTAGTCCGGTTTCTGATCGGTGTTTATAGTCACGAATCCAATGTGAGTCTTTATGAGGACACTAAAAGCTTGATATCTCAGTACGACTAGACGTAAAATGACATTCCTTATCAGTTGCAAGGTATGACCGAAGGCAAAATAATTCGGCAAAAGAACCACATAATACAAAGCAATACCCAAGGCTTGAAGCATACTTCTTTTTAGTGATGACTAGTGATACTTCCTGGATAGTCCAGTCAAAGTGTAGTAAGCTATGAACTTGTAATCCAGTAGTTAAAAGTCGAGCAATTCAACTACTTAGTCAACATATTAACCGACAATAATAATTCGGCACTAGAAATGCTAACATAATCATCTTGATCTGTGATTCCATACTATTTTGTTTTAAAAGCTGTGAAACACTTATTGTGTGAAAGATATTGCTAGCACCCACATTTCAGAACTGAAGTCACGTAATATAACCTGCACCAACAAGATAAAAACCACACAAGGTCACATGATATTAGTAAATCCTAACATCAGGACAAAATGTGTACCTTCACATAGGATATTTTGAGATTATCAAGAAACAAAAAAATCTGCCCAGAACCTTTCTAGAGTTACTGCCGGTCCCAAGCCCGGGTAAAGAAGGATTGGGTATGGGGTCAGCAACCCTATCCCGTAGGAAAAAAACCTTGCTAAAAACGCTATCCAAAAAATCGTTTAAACCCTTCAGACTCTGTCCTGGGAGTCGAAAGATCTTCATTCAGAAGAATTAGGAGGCCTCATGATAAAAACCGAGATTCTTTGAAAGTCATGAGTTCGATACCCCCTCACGCAACCACAGTAATAGTTAATATCGGTATACGGAATGTCCGGACAATGTGGGAGACCTGGAGGACTAATCAAATAGCTATCGATATGAGGAGATACAACTTGGCGGTTCGCAGAATAAGTGAAACCCATTTGACCCAAGTTGGACAGAAAACGTTATATTCGGGAGAGGTGCTATTGTACTCTGATCACGAAGAAAATGCTCCACACACTGACGGGGTTGTTCTGACGCTGTCCAAAGAAACACGTAAAGCACTTATAGGATGGGAATCTCACGGATCCAGAATCGTCAAAGCATCCTTCAAAACAAAGAAGGAGGAAATCACGAGGAATTTTATCCAGTGTTATGCACGCAACAATAATGACAATGACGACGATAAAGATCTGTTTATGAGAGGTTGCAATCAGTCATAGGGATTTCTTCAGGAAAAAAGCTGACCATCCTGATAGGAGAACTGAACGCCACAGTTGAAATGGACAATACTGGACATGAAGATATCACGGGACGACATGGATTGACTGAGAGAAATGAACGAGAATGATGAGAGATTTGCAAACAAATGTGCATTCAAAAAAGTTAGAGGTGGCATAATATTCCACCGCAAACGCATATACAAAGCTAAACGGGTCTCACCAGATCACACTGCAAAGAATCAGATCGATCATATTTGCATCATTTAAAAATTCACAAGGCCAATGGAAGACGTGAGAACCAGGAGAAGAGCTGACATAGCTTCAGACCGCCATCTGGTGATTGCCAAGACGAAACTGAAGCTAAAGAAAGAGCATTACAAAGGTTTAATAGCCTTCTTTCGAGCTGCCGACAAACTCAATGAATCCAAGTTAGCTCTCAACAACAGGTTCCAAGCCTTACAAGATCCATCCAAATAAAAGGGAACTAACATGGAGAACAATTGGAAAGTGATCAAAGAAGCAATAACTTCAAGATATAGTAAATCAGAGCACCCAATCAAGAACAAAGAAGGCAAACCAATCACTGATGTTCAAGAGCAGCAGTAACGTACACATGGAAAGAAACAAAGTCCTCAAATACAATCCAGAGAACACTAACTCAGTCACACTTGATGGAGTAACTATGGAAGAGATGGAAACTTTCATGTACCTGGGTATCATCATCGATGAGAAAGGAGGATCCGATGCAGACGTAAAGGCAAGGATTAGCAAAGCAAGAGATGCATTTCTACAATTGAAGAACATATGAAACTCAAAACAACTGTCAACCAATATCAAAGTGAGAATCTTCAATACGAATGTCAAGACAGTTCTACTGTACGAAGCTGAAACGGAGAACTACTACAACCATTATCGGAAGTGTACAAGTATTTATAGACAATTGTCTACGTTAGATACTCAATGTCCGTTGACCTGATACCATCAGCAACAGCCTACTGTAAAAGAGAGAACAAACCAACTTCCAGCTGAAGAGAAAATTAGGAAAAGACGTTGGAAGTGGATAGGACATATTGTGAAAATCATCAAACCGAATCACGAGGCAAGCCCTAACTTGGAATCCTGAAGGAAAACGGAAAAGAGGGAGATCAAATAACACATTGAGCCGGGAATTGGTAGCAGATGTGAGAAGGATGAATAGCCACTGGAAAAGATTACTTAGGACAGAGCAAGTGGGAGATTCCAGGTCGGCACCTACGCTCCATGAGGGATAACAGAGTAGGTAAGGAGGCAAGATATCTCTCTTTTCCTTAACTCACTGGCTTAACTTAGAAATTATGAAATAATTTATGTATTAAAAAGGAACTCCAAACCTCTCAGCACTTTGTAAATGATTATTTTTAGTTTATGATTACTCAAAACTATCACAAACATCTCGACGTAAAAAAATAGTCTACTACGCAACCACTTGGGCAAAACCTCTCGATCGTAATAAAATAAATGAAGTTGAGTATAGCTTTCATCACCGATCAAGACCAACTACAAACTTTCTTTATAGCACTACCTGTTCGCCGCCGAACCAACAACGCCCAGATGTACTAGTTAAGTGAAGATCACTGGTAGCAATCTAATGACTGGATGGTTTTGCTTGCTGAACAGTAAACAAGCAGATGAAAGTGGTGCACTACTCACTTACTGACCTTCCAATCGTTAGAAAAAATACCTTTAAAAAATAATTTAATGACTCAAGATTTTCATACCTTGAGAATATTTCTGACTAAAATTTCATCAGAAAGAACACTTTCTTTGACAATACATTTAACACTATGAGTTAACAGAGCTGTTGTGAATTCCTCACTAATTAATGATAGAAGATGTAATATGTTTCCTTTGATTTGTTTCGAAAATGTAGAATTAGTCAAACAGTGTTGTATTTCTTCATCTGAGATTGACAGGTTAGAAGTACTGGCATAAAGAGAGTCAGCTAAATTAATTTGGAAAATGGAAAAGCACTAACTATGACGTGCTTAACAATCAGAAAAGACAACAATGTATGGGAGTAGAATATACGAAACGTGACTATCAGTGGGATCCAGAACGCGCGTTTCATCCTATTTAAGAAGCACCGACCAGATATACCTGTATCCTCGAGCGAAAGGTGCTAGGTTCGAACCCCAGAGTGAACACTAACTTGGGAATGGAGGTACACTTGACTGATGAGACGCAAACAGGACGAAACGCTAATCCTAGATTACACTGCTAGCCATATTCCATCTATTGTATGTAAATTTATGCTATAACGTCTATGTTGAGGCAATCCGCACAGGATGCCAAGCAAAATTCAGTCGAAAAATAACGAAATAACCTGAACGATTACAAATTAATTTATACGAGTACTTGTCCTCATCTTGAGGTGATATGCTTTTGTATGGCTATGCGTATATATTCACTGACAGGGATGTCCTGGCAAGTCCTACTCCACCTTTTCGTCGATGTTGTTTACGAAAATCATAGGACAGAAGGCGAATATTCGACACAACCGGGTTGGTAGGTACGGAGGATCCACCTAGAGTTGGGTAACCATGGTTCTAAAGTAATGATGCACATGGACTCTATGATCCTGAGGGAACAAATAAAGTATGAACCTATTCTTGTTCACTGGCTGCCATGAGACCGCAACTCCCAACGTTTCTCCATTACATTATAGATTATATATCTGAGTCAAAGGATCGGAGAGTGGATCGCTAGGAAAACCATCTTCTTCGGTTTGGACACCTAGGCAGTATGCCAGAGCACACATAAATCCAATTTTTTAGTGACATGTATATTTTGTTGGCTTTTTGTAACAGTGTTTACGTTCTTAAATAAATAAAATAATTAAACAAACAAGACATTCTTTTTAATTGAATATCCTGGCATTTTTCATCTATAAAATACTATACTTGAAGATTATGAAGGACGGGAGGCTTTAAAAATTGTTTTTATGAAAATCGAACCACTAATGTTGTCCCCAGTAATGGCACCGAGTATGATTCTTAATTACATATTTTCAGGTTGAAATCAGTCTTAATTTCTTAATAAATATAATCAGAAATATTTGGACTAATCTTGATCCCAGGCAGTACTAACCAGTAAACAGAGGACTTATTAAATTACCTTTCATGATGAGACTGCTACGTGTACAATGGAAAGGATCCCGTTATTTTTACCCCAAATAGGCGAGTTTTCCCATGAGAAGCGCAAACTTAACTGAGGCAAACACAACCACATATAATCAAGTGGAATTTAAATGATCGTCAAAAACCACATGGATATTCGAAATAAAAACAATTACCGTGTATTAATACTTCTATAATCCATCTTAATGGATGTGACCAAAGTTTTGGGGTCTTAAAGTACAAGCACACCAAAGACTCATACAACTTTGTAACTGCTGGATTTGGTATATGACTTGTAGAATGACAGTTCAGCTCCAAAATTTTCTGCATCAAACACTTTCGCAGATCACCCAAGTTTTCTTCTAAGTAATCATTGTTCTAAAGAAGGATAACGTGTGAGAAACTACGTGAAATATACCCCAGAGTTAATCCAATTTCTGACAGAAATGGCACCATACAACTGCTCATTTTTGGAATTTTTACAATCAATCAGTGCAAAACTATAATTTAGTGATCCATAGCTTTCCGAGTTATCAGAAGATTGATCCAGAGTACTGAAGCAGTTATGATTAAGTTCAGGAAGAGTTAGTTCCATTTTGTGAAGAAATTTACATCGGAACTACTGGCAATAATTCTTCGGAGTATAATATAACCTAGATAAGGAATTTAAACTCATTTTAAAAAACATCACAATTACGAAAATTGGTGGGACTACTATCATCTCGAGATGAATAATTGATTCCTTCAAGACATCAGATGGCAATAATAGATATCCAGTCAGTAACTGAAGGAGACAGTATTTCTGACTAAAACTGCAGTCTAAAAGTCAAAAAACAGAAAGGAACCGATATCGACTAGACCCCAACGAGCTCACTTAAGTTGCAGTAACGAGTTGTCGGTAGGCTTATGACTAGCTACGAGTTTTTTTAGTGAAAGACGTGAGAATTTAGGACATAAAAAGTTAAGAAACGTGAACCAGAAACTCGCAGGTAACATTGGATTCATTTACATTCAATAGTGAAGGCGTTAGACAACAATTAACAATGTACAAGAACTAGAATGAGGAAATTGTTATCAACCTTGATAACACCCCATCGCTTAGTAAGTAATCATGCAATGTTATTCTTCACTCTTTGGACTGATGCTAGCATTTATTTTTCTGCCCTGATGAGATTAAATGTGTGGAAATTAGATATTCTGTCAAATATACATGCAGCGTCTTCGGTAGATTAGCCTACTAAACACGAACTTACCATACACACGGCTTTAGTTTTTAGAGATTTATACACTGGAGGCATCAAATAGTGCGTACCTGAAATAACTCCAAGTAAATCAAGAAAACCCACTTCTATTAGGAAAGAATGTTTGTACTGTTCTTCGTAAAAGAATATGGGAGAAATTTAGATCAATGCTGTACTGACGAAACTAAATCTCAATATCGAAGAGCAAAGAACCTTTAAGTCCTGACTCTACACAAGTCCAGAAGGGGATATGAAACAAAGTCTGCTTCGGATGCTAGAGAATCTTCAAAATGCCTGGTTTCATAATTAAATCGGAGGATAAATAGGGGTCGCATTACCCTATTATTGCATAAAGATAGTTTTACAGATTTATGCGTCAAAAAAAATTAATTGGAGGAACAAGGAAGAACCTGATGTACGCAAGCGTATATCAAGAGCCTGTGTAGCCAGATAGTATTTTTCCACACTAACTCTAAACCTTAAGGTTTTTAATTTTGTAAACAAAAGGGTGATAAAGCATGATTGCATTATAGCTGATATCAGTTGGTGACGAAAACCCCATAAGGTTACAACCATGGCTCATAGTAATAGCCCATCTAACAATATGTAAACTTGATCTTTCTCATTTACATTAATGAATAATGTTACAGGTGGGACTATCATTTATGGACGACCTTTGAGCGATGCTAAAGTAACCCTGGAAATATCCTACTTGATATATATTAGTATGAGGAACTGAGATTAAGATCTAAGGTTGAGAGTTACGGTTAGGAATTGGATTTATGGTTTTTCATCACGAACTGACATCATTTATCAGCCCAAAATGCTGTTTAGCCATAAGGATAAATGAATTTTGCGACAAAATCAGAGACGTGTGAGATTATAATTTATGAACGAACCATTCATATCTAAGATAATCTTGAATCTTGGTGCGAAATTTATTCACTCATTTGTCTAAGTATCACTCTCGTATCATAGCTGATATCAGTTCACGAAAATATTAGATCTAATTCCTAACTCCAACGTTCAACTGTAAATCCTAATTCCTCACACTAATCTCTAACCCTCATTAACAAGTAGAATGGCACTCCATGGTTATCTTGGTGTTGCTCAGAAGTCGTCCATAAATTGTAATCTCACCACCAACCTAACCATAATTGGGTATCTGATATGTCCCCATTTCTAACCGTCTAGAACAGAAGACTTGCGAAGAAATAGCAAAACAAAACTTAAAAGCCTAAAGCCAACTGGATGTTGTATGACTACTTGATGAAAGTATATCATACTGACGAGCTTGAGTTAGACAATCAGAATTACGATGATATGTCATCGTAAGTAATCAAGCTGCAGCTTGATTACTTAAGGCAAATTTGCCTTGTTGCTAGTGTTTAACACTAGCAACTATCGTTGATTACGAAAACTCCATGGGTCGACTATCCGAACTTACAACACTAACCTAACTCCTACCTCACAAGACTTTTTTTCTTTTACTCCTAAGAATAATTCGAAATATGGGGGTTGATTTTATATGGCTGGAATTAAACTTGAAGTAAATCCCTGACGAGATACAAAAAGACTTTTAGCTCGATAAAAATCCATCTACCATAAACACGTGCTGGCCAACAATTTTAAAACTAAAAATTGCTCACAAAAGGGCCATAGTTCACACCAAGGACAGTGAAGGTCACTCAAGGCCGCTCGCTGTTCCGTTCCAATGATCACCCCTATCACTCAAATACGGCACTATAGTCCAAATTGTTCAAATGGTTCTGAACACAATAAAAGAAGTTTTCGCTTAATATGCTTCTATATCTAGTAGCAGTGGATCATTGACGCCTCCAGGTAAGAACCTAGATATATTAACGATAAAAGAGTTTCAGTTTCAGTTTGGGAAGGACAGGAGGCTCGATGGCCTATGTTAGTCCTGGCAATGGTGGTCTCTCAGTTGATCCAACTTTCTTTTGAAAGAGTCGACGGATGGAGCCTCAACCACGTGCTGAGGTAGTGAATTCCACTCGTTGATGATTCGACGGGAAAGTCGATAGTCAGCTGACAAGTAATTTGTTCTCGGCTTATGAACTTTTTTGAAGTGTCCTCGTAAATTCTCTGTTTTGGAAGACAAGAAAAATGAGGGCATATCAGGTGCAAATTTACCACTAAGCAATTTGTAGACTGTAATCAAGTCGCCTCTAGTTCTGCGATATGACAACGGGAAAAGGTTCAGCTTGGCCAGTCGAGATTCATACGGAAGCTTCGCTATTCCGGGAATCAGCTTAGTCGTCGTTCTCTGAACCTTTTCCAGAAGCTCACTGTCTTTTTTAAAGCAGGGGCTAGCCGCTTGTATGCAGTACTCAAGTTCAGGACGAACGAACACTGTATACAAAGTCAAAAACGCCTTAGCGTCGACATGACTAAAAGCCCTACGTATTGACCATAACGTTCTAAAACTTTTGGCGGCTATTGCACGGCAGTGTGCAGTAGTCTTTAAGTCTTGACTAACGATAACTCCTAAGTCATTATATATCTGGACGACAGGAGGAAAGAAAAAGTTGGTAAATCATAGTAAAATTTCGTATATAATTTTGAAGAATACATCAAGTTCTCTCTTGAAGGATTCCTGAAAAGTCGCTTGGACCATTTCATACGGCAGCGAATTCCAACATTTGACTACTCTTAAGCAGTATTAGGTGTCTCTATAGGCTGTTCTGTTGTATTGTTTCCACTTTCTGGATGTTAATTCTAAGGTTTGCGTTGAGACTAAGCTTAAGTAGGTGTTTAAGGGGATGTAAGGAAGTGTTAAGGATGCCGTAAGTTATTAGGTCACCTCCCAGACGCCTCTACTCTAATAGGTAAAGGTTCAGTGATTGAAGGTGCTCTTCATAAGACTTGAACTTGAGTCATAGAACTGATTTCATCTCTGGATGCGGTCCAGAGTGTCCTTATCCTTTTAGAGTGAGGGAGGATGTACTATGTTTCCCCACTCTAAATAAGGACGAACAAAACTGTCGAAGATTATGTGGATAGTTCTTACGTTGAACTGGCCGAAAATGCGCTTCAGTGTTATCAGTACAAGGTTTGCTCGGCAGGCAGCTTAAGACTTCAGATCGTAGGGCACCAACACCCCTAGATATTTTTCAACTTGTGATATCTCTTGAGAGGAGTTACCTAAGTTGTACCTTAGTCTGAAAAATGTCTCATATGGATTACTTGACACTTTGAAGTGTTAACGATAAGTCTGTTGACATCTGATCAGTATTTGGCGCATTTCTTTGCTATCAGTTAATCTACGAGGAGCTGATTTGTTCTTCTAAGCATCAAATAATAGTAGTTTGAAATTGTGGTGGAGGATCTTTGTAATACAGTGAGTTGTGACCTTAAGACCACGAGCTACTGCCACGTGGTCACAGCGAAGGAGTTCAGAACCATACGGGCTCTAAGCAGGATATTAACCAAGTTAGATACCAAAGTGTTTACCACAGTATACAGAACAATGATGAGATAAAAACTTAAAAACTGCGTTCGGTATGCAAGTCCCTATTTATAGGTGGCTCGGATATCTTGGAAAATATACAGAGGGGAGCTATTTGTGCATTTCCAGAACACCGTGGTTTATCTTGCACAGAGCTGTTTGAGAAGCTAGAACTCTACTCTGTCCTACCGCAAATTTACAGCTGATCTGATTTGGTGTGTGAAACACTAGTAAGAGATTTTGGATCTGATATATACATTTTTCCTTTCTACCAGATCAGAGTAACTGAGAGGAAATAGCAGACGAACTCATAAGTCGAGAGCGAGCAAAATACATGTGGCATACAGGTTTCTATGCCGATTCATCAATTCTTAGAACCTATTATTTGAAGAAGTATGGTCCACACTCATTCAGAAAACCAGACACACAGAAGTTAACGAGAAAACGACCAACACTGGCCACAGGTCTCTTATCCCCAATACACGAATCCGACTATAAATCAGGATACTTTATTTGTTAATATATATCATAAAGATAGATGCTGTTTCCAGGAACTTCCAAAGGGATGAAAACAGGATAGTGTGTCTCTAATCTTCAACCGAGGGGATAGGAAAGACCCACCTTGATACAGACCAGTCACGTCACTCCCAATTATATCGAAAGTAATGGAGGGATAAATCGCTTGCTAAGCGAGAGAATAGCACGAAGGTTACCTACAGGCACGAAAAATGCATTGAAGAGACCTGGAGATCCACCTGAGCATTTAAATAACTTTACAACTACGGAGGAATAGTAAGTAGACAGTGCATCAAAACCTATCCTGTCGAATTGTCATATTATGAGCATTCAGCCCAATGAGACCCAGGTAACTGTGACAATCCGTCCCCATTTGTTGCCTCAAAGTGCAGTCTAAAACTGACGACCTTTGATTTTTGTATACAACAATGATTTCTGCACTCGTCATAATTTCTAAATACAACTCGTTTGATCATCCTCACAGAGCTCTCTCTCACTTGAAGACGTGGTTAGTAGAGTACCAATTAGACCGTTTTAGGCATTCCTAGTAAAAAAAATCGAATTCAACAACTTCTAATAAACACATAACCACACAGAACTTAGACACTATCACAAACTTGATAAAAAATGTAGTCGAAAGCCACTTTCTGAATTGTCCGAAGACAATTTCATAATTGTTCCTGAGACCTTAGAACATACTCATGTTTCACCTCAAAATACAGTGTTATTAGGAATCTCCTCTTCAAAAAAAGATATAAATCTATTATACCAAGTGCAGAGGTGAATAACTAAGTGGGTGATTGGGCTAAGAAGTACATTTCACGAAGACAGACTCCGACACTCATCATTCTTAACGCCGAGCTATATGGAAATAGAGGTGATCTAATAATGGCATACAATATACTAAGTACACCGATTCACTACAATACGAACATCCTGCAGAAGAATCACCACTACACTCTTCGAAGCAACCTTCGACAAAATTACACATCAAAGACCGAAAACCCAGGTATACCCCCTTAATCTCTCAATAAGAGTTGTCACCATTCGTAGTATTTTCCTAACAAAAGTGACCGTCACCCCCTCTGGAAGTAGCTTCGAGAAGTGACTTGATAAACACTTAGTGTCGTCATCTCGTGCTTGAACTAGCTGTGCTTGATGCATATCTCGTAACCTACCTATTGTTGTTGTTACTACACTTCCTGTCTAGTTTACTGTCATCTCCGTTTCCACTCTTCTTCTTACGTTTGTCTATGATCCCACATAAATGGTTTTATAGTAAGTAATATGATCATCATATACGTATTCACTTGTTGGCGTAATTCCCCTTTTGCTGGATTTTACCAGGCGCTGCTGCGCACATACGTCCAAGAAACAACATATATTCGAGCTAGGTGCAAACCTACCAAGAAAACTTGATCATTTAAGGGGCATATGTGAGTTTAGGACATAAGCGACATGAGATGATTGGCTCATACTAGTTTTCCTTCCTGTCTTGTCTGTTCACATTCAGGCTTACTGTTTCGTGTTTCACTTACAAACTGGATACTGGTTACCCACGTAAAATTTAACTTACTACACTTACCATTGTTTATAGTCGTCGATTGCTCTCGTTGTCTTATGTGTAATTAAGATGACATCTTTGACGATATTCAGAGTTCTTTACGGAACAGTTCGTCCGGTCTGTCGCTTATTATTAAATTTAAACACAAATATTGGTACAAAGGCCTTCCGAATACATACGCGCCACACGATTCACTTGTATGATCTGTTGCTTCAGCAACGTCTATTAACTGTTCAGCCACTCTGGCCAGTAACTACAGAACTCATCTAACTAGGCGACGGTCTGTAGAAGACCCTAAATATTAGGGCGCCTTAAGTCACCAGGCCCCAGCTACTTGGCTCTGGCTTTCCTCAGAGACGATGTGGGACTTCTGGCCATTAAGCTGACTGGGCTATTTGGAAAAGAATGGTGAACAGAACTCCCTAACAATCTGGAGTAAAGTGGTCATCGTCCTCATCCTTAGAAAAAACCTGTGTCATCCATCTACTAACTATAATAGAGTAAGTCTAATTTCGATTGCGTCCAAGCTGTTGGCTCACGTCATACTTCATATATTGTGCGAAGCCCATAAAAGAATAATCAAAAAACGAAAGCCAGCTTTTGATTAAGTGAAAACTTTGATCATAACTTCCTCCCTTCCAAATGTTAGAACACCACCACCTATCCCAGGTTGACAGTCATTGTGTTCCTTAGTGTCGGGGCCACCTTCAATACGTTGGATAGGATCATGCTATTATGGGTCTACATGCATAGATAATTAACATATGGATGGATTTTTACACAAATACCTCAAGTAGAGTGAGAGCATACAATCACCTCTCTCCATTGTTCCAACCCAACAATGAGTATAGACAGATCTGCCCAATCTTACTATACTTCATGCTTTCAACTGATGGCATTCTAGAAACAGTTCTGAAGAGAGTGCGTTGGTGGCTGTGTATATCTGTTACGTGGTAGGCGACTTTTAACATTGAGTAGGCTGATAATATTGTCTTACTGTTCGATTATACGGAGTATCCAAATGGGACTTAACCATTTGGTAATTTGTCTGAGAGTGCAGCATGTACTCTACACCTGAATACAAAGTACTGGGAGACTGGCAGAAACTTGTGTCTGGATTCTGTTTTTGATCCGTTTGTCTAATGATCTTTATCAGACT